GCGGCCATGTTTTCTGCTGTTTTAGCGAGCAGCGGGACCTCGTGTCTAACTCGTGGAACTAAGCTCGGTATCAGTTCATGCTAAGTCCCGCTGTCTGGCTGGTAGTGGGCTCGTTCGGTAAGGGAATGAGGACCACCTGGGAGCAGGGTACTTGACCTGCGGTTAACCGCAAAAACCACAAGTTAACGAGCGCCACACGACCCGCTGTAGGGGGTCGTCGTTCGGTTGATAGTTCGGTATTTTCCCTTCGGTACTTTGGGTGCGAACGTCGATGCCCCCAGGCCTACCAATTACGTTGTGGTTAACCGCAAACCGCAGGCACCTGGGTGGTTAATGGCTGCCACACTCCGAGGGCCGGGTGGTCGACCGTTCGGTAGTTTGTGGGGTGACGGGGTTAAGTGGCGGCACACGCCAGTTTGTGGGGGGTCCCCCGTTCGTACCACGAATGGAGCCTTCATAAGGGTTCGCATAATCCATTCGTGTGGTCTTCTGCTTCACTTATGCAGTGGCAAACAGTATCAATCGGTGTGTTAAAACAGCAACATAGTGATTTCCAGTCTTTTGTAACACATACAATTTTATGAAACCCCAAAAAGAACATTAAAAACACATAAAAACCCATAGTTACATCCCCTGAGCCCCGATCGAGGTTAATAACATATCCAAAAATCACCCAGATCGGTTCAGGGCTTCAGGAATTTCCTGGAAGTCATAATTTTGACCCACCTTGCGCATGGTCCTAAGCCCAAAACAGTTCCATGAAATCAGTGCCAACGATCAGTCAAGTTTGGTAGTCTTTTATAGGTTTCCCTGCAGGGCCCATAGTCTGTGAACAGGAGGCTGGCAAGCAGGCTCCTCCAGGAGCTTGTGGTAAACTCACTTGGAGAGGAGAGTTTGTCACAGCAGGAATCGCTCCCAGTCTTTGTATTCTTCAGTAAAGGACTTCAACATTTGTTTGAGGGTACCATTAAATTGTTCACAGAGAGCATTAGTCTGGGATTGTATGGCGAGCTGAGTAGAGGCTTAATACCACAGATCTTCCATAGCTGATGGGTAAGATCTTCTGTAAATTGCGTTCCCTGGTCAGGGGGGATTTCTTTTGGAAAACCTACTCTGATGAACATTGTAAGGAAACCAAGTACATTTAAACCTCAATCGGTAGTTTCCTCCCGAACCGCCAGAGCCCTAGTGAATATAGCCCTCCGTTCGGTAGTTATGGTAGACGAATCCCAGTGTAATTCCAATAGTGTCCCTGGATAATTCCCTCAGTAAAACACACGAACTCCCAAACAGCATATGTAGTCAGAAGAAGGGTACAAAGATGAACTAAAGATTTATTGACAGGCATTCTCTTTTTATGGGATTCTGCCCATGCAAGGGAGCCTCCCATATAATTAACTGTACAACCAATCATAACAATATACATACTGTACATCTCCTCCCCTCAGATAACCATTTAACATAATTAAAACGGAACATAATTTCCCCAAAGTCTGGATGTACCCCAAGGACTTGGGGTACAGGCATAAATTTGGTATTTGGTAAGCTGTACTCTAGGGGACCAACATATGAAAAAATCAGTCCATTCGGTTCAGCCGTTCGGGAGATATGGGACTTAGAAGTTTTCACCGACCGCACGGAATTCTGGCCCTGCAGTCGGTCTTAGGTCGCATGAAAAACCTCCCAAACGGCCGGCCATCCAGCTACCATCCTTGGTTCGCTTGATTCCCCATCTGTCAGTGAGTCTTTCTACCGAACGCCCGGTCGTTCGGTAGTTTTAATGGGGTTTTACTGAAGGTATGGAGGATTCAGCGGTGTTCGCCTATTTGAGTATCCGTTTTCAGTTCCAGACACTCGACGGCAAACACCACTGTTCGGGAGCTAAAATGGCCGCGAACATGTGGAAGTCCCGAAATGGCGGTGGTGCATACCGTTCGTGCAGAACTTTTGTCGAACATGCCCAGCAAGCAGGGAGGTAAAGTATTCATAATGGGCAACAGGGTGGTCTCGATTCGGTAGTTTCACCTACCGAATGCCATAGGGAAAGCTAACATAAAAGAAGGGAATACAAATTGTCAGTTTAAAGCAAAAGTGGGGAATTTCTTCACACTGCTCCCCTATAAGTCCATAGGTCGGCATACCTGCCAAGACCCTGACGGGTTGGCTTGGGGATGTCCGAAAAAAAGAAACGGTCCAAGTTAAACATCCAATTCCGTTTGGCTGGACAAACCGTCTGCATTACCATTTTGTTTGTCCGGACGGTACTGCATGGTGAAGTTGTACGGTTGAAGGGCTAGGCTCCACCGTAAGAGTCTGGGGTTGTCGCCAGCCACCCGGTTTAACCACACCAACGGGTTGTGGTCGGTCATCAGAGTAAATGGCCGGCCGTACAAATAAGGTTGGAGTTTCTTAAGAGCCCACACCAGGGCTAGGCACTCCTTCTCCACGGTGGCATAGCTGACCTCCTGGGGCAAAAGTTTACAGCTGAGATAGGCCACCGGGTGTTCCATGCCGTCGTCTCCCACCAGCCCAAACATGGGCTGAAATTGTTTAGAGTAGTCGGGTGCTGCCAACACAGGAGCCTCACTCAATGCTGCTTTCAGTTTCTGGAAGGCTGCCGCGCACTCTGGGGTCCAGGTAACCTGTTTGGAAAGGGCCTTTTTGGTGAGGTCAGTGAGGGGTTTGGCCAGGGCGCTATAGTCGGGGACAAATTTCCGGTAATAGCCGGCCGTCCCTAAGAAGGCTAAGACCTGGGTCTTAGTCCAGGGTTGGGGCCAATTAGCTATGGCCTCTACTTTGGCAGGCTCAGGCCGCTGTTTACCTGACCCTACCCTTTGGCCGAGGTACTGTACCTCCGTCATACCAACGTGACATTTGTCCGGTTTTAACGTAAGCACTGCTTGGTGAATTCTCTCGAGCAGCCTGGACACGTGGCCTAGGTGGTCTCCCCATGTGCGGCTGTAGACAGCAATATCATCTAAATACGCACATGCGAAGTCCTGGAGTCCCTCCATGAGTCTGTCAGCCATCCACTGAAAGGTAGCCGGGGCATTCTTCATTCCAAAGGGCATAACCTTGAATTGGTAAAGCCCGAAAGGAGTGACGAATGCCGACTTGGGGATGGCTGTAGCCTCCAAGGGGATCTGCCAGTATCCTTTGCACAAATCCAGAGTGGTCAAGCAATTACCCCCAGCCATACAGTCCAGCAACTCATCTATTCTGGGCATGGGGTATGCATCCGTTATGGTGCGGTCGTTGAGCCTCCGGTAGTCTACACAGAAGCGTGTGGTGCCGTCACGCTTCGGTACTAGTACTACCGGAGATGCCCAAGGGCTTTGAGAGGGTTCTATTACCCCTAACTTGAGCATGTCGGTAATTTCTGCCAGCATGCTCTCACGCACGGCCTCGGGGATACGGTATGGTTGCTGCCGCAGTGGCGTCTCTCCCTGGGTTTCTACCCGGTGTACCACAGCGGAGGTATAGCCTGGGATGGCAGAAAACATGACCTGGTATTCCCAGAGCAGGCCGGACGCTTCCCCTCGCACTAGAGGTTGTAGGTTCTGACCAAGGCTGACCTGGTCAATACTGCAGGGTGAGGGGTCTAACAGATCGGGGAAAGGGAGCCCCTCGCTATCTTCTGATAGCTCGTAGTAGGGTTTTAACATGTTTACATTTAAGACTTTGGTCAGTCTTTCATCCGAACATTTACTTACAATGTAGGTGGTATCGCTTATTCGCTCCACCACCTTAAAGGGCCCCTGCCATGCCGCCTGGAGCTTATCCTTCTTGGCGGGTCTCAAGGCTAGCACTTTTTGGCCCAAGTCTAAGACTCTGTCTCGGGCACCCCTGTCGTAGCACTTCTTTTGGCAGTCCTGAGCCGCCTGCAGGTTCTCCCGAACTGATTCGGTGAGAGTCCGCAGCCGGTTGCGGAACTCCAGTACGTACTGTATGATAGGGATCCCCCCATCATCTGTGTTGCCCTCCCAGTGCTCCTGTACGAGATCCAGGGGGCCCCGAACTTTTCTCCCGAACAGGAGTTCGAAGGGGGAGAACCACGTGGATGCCTGGGGCACCTCACGATAGGCAAACAGAAGATGGGGAAGATACCTCTCCCAGTTCCTGCAGGACTATGCGAACATTTTTAGCATTTGCTTGAGCGTGCCATTAAAACGTTCACAGAGGCCGTTGGTCTGAGGGTGATATGGAGCGCTAAATAGGGCTTTCACTCCACAGCTCTGCCACAGCTGTTGCGTTAGGAGAGCTGTGAACTAAGTCCCTCTGTCAGATAGGATCTCCTGGGGAAAACCTACCCGGGAGAATATTTTGACCAGGGTCTTGGCTACGGTTTCGGCCTCTATATTGGGGAGGGCCACGGCTTCGGGGTACCGAGTGGCATAGTCCACTACGGTGAGTATAAACTTTTTACCAGACTGACTGGGCCGACTGAGGGGTCCTATTAAATCCACCGCTACCCGGTGGAACGGCTCCTCTATATGGGTAACGGGTGAAGCTTCGCTTTCTGGTGGTCACCCCGTTTCCCTATTTTCTGGCAAACGTCACAGGTCCTGCAGTAGTATTTGAGGTCTTGAGTGACCCTGGGCCAGAAGAAGGTTTGGGTCAGCCGGTCTCTAGTTTTCTTAACCCCTAAATGTCCGGCTAGGGGAATATCATGGTTGAGTCTTAATAACTCTGCCCGAAACTTGCGGGGTACTACTAGCTGCATCTTAGTAACCTGGGCGGTCAAGTGTCCCGCCCCATCTGTCACCCTATACAGTCCCTTGTGCCACTCAAACCTTTCGTGTGGGTTGTCGCCCCTATTATTCCCTACCGCTTTTCTATACCCGTCTAGAGTGGGGTCAGTCCTTTGTTCCTGCTCGAACCCCTGGGGAGTATCCCAGAACGGGGAAGGGGGGTCGGGTAAAGGGGGTATTTCAACTCCTACCTGGGTTTCCTCAGAGTGCGGCGGTGCTTCCAGTCTGGCTTGAGCTCGGGTGGTAACCGGGTAGGCTTCGGACGCGGTGTCTCGGGCTAGTTGGGAAGTTAAACAGCCCACATCATTCCCCAACAGTACTTCGGCTGGTAGCTCCTGCATAATGCCAACCTCCAATTGTTTAGATCCCGAGCCCCAATCCACAAGGACTTTAGCCATAGGTAGTTTGAGAATGGCACCCCCGGCTACCCTTACTGCCACAGTACGGCCCGTGTGAGTTTGGGCCTTGACAGTGTGAGGTTGACCACAGTTAACGTGGCCCCAGAGTCTCTTAAGGCGTGGGCACCCACCCCGTCTACTGTAATCCACTGACGGTGGTGGTCCCGGTTGTCGCCTCCTGCTTGCACAGGGTTGACTTTGTGCAACACACTCCATTGTTCCTCGTGGGTAGGTAACCACGATGTGCTCTCCTGCTGTACACAATGAGCAGCGGCCCTGGGTTGTGACTGTGGTGGCGGCCTTTCCCAGCTTCCCCGGTTTAAACGTGGGCACTGGTTTTTATAGTGTCCCGGCTGTTTGCAGTAGTGACACACTGCAGGTTGTCGTGGTGCTGCTGCTGAGCTGTGCAGCTGATTACTCAGGAGGGCTCTAGGTGGTGCAGCCGTTGTTGGGGCTGAATAAGCCTGTTTAAATGCAGGTCGGCTCAACCCTTGTTCTCGCCTCCGGTTATCCTGGTATTCATCTGCCAGTCTTGCTGCCTCCTCCACAGTTTTAGGCTTCCTGTCTTTCACCCAGTCCTTAATGTCATCTGCTGTATGGTTAAAAAAATTGTTCTAATAGGAGGAGTTGGAAGGCATCCTCCAGAGTGGTTGCTTGGCAGCCCTTCATCCAATTTCAGGCTGCCCTGTGTAGCCGGAATGCCCATTCAGTATGGGTATCCCTCCCTGTTTTCCTCAGTTCCCCGAATTTCTTCCTGTCTGCCTCAGGGGTAACTGCATATCTAGCCAACAAAATGTCTTTTATTTTCCCATAATTATGAATATCCTCATTAGGTACTGCTCGTGCCGCTTCTGATGCTCTGCCTGACAACTTGCTGCTCAGTACTGCAGCCCATTTGGTGGAGTCTAATCCCTCCAGGGCACATTGCCTTTCAAAGTCCTGCAGATAACTATCAATCTCCATTTCATTTTCATTAAAGCTTTTAAATGCAGCATAATTTACCTTCTTTGGTAGGTCATTTGTACTTCCCGGGGAGTGCAGAAAATCCCCCTGTAGCGGTCTGTCACGGTCATCTCGCTCCTTCTGCGATTGCCTGGCTTGTGCCATGACCTGCAGAACCGCCTCTGTTGCTGGGTTAGGTCCCAATAAACTGAGCATCCATCTGATGTCTTTCTGCATTTCAGTTTCTTCCTCACGCTCCATTTCTGTAGTGCTGGTTCTGTCGCTCTGTAACAGCTCTGCAATTAACGTGGCTTTTGTTTTGTTGCTTGCTATTACGCCTCGAGCTTCCAGTAAATCCTTTAGCGTGGTTCTCTTAAGCTGTTGGTACTGCTGAGCCATTCATTCCTTTGCTTGTTTAAAACGTCCGTTCGGGATTCGAATCCCACCGCTGCCACCAGTTGTAAGGAAACCAAGTACATTTAAACCTCAATCGGTAGTTTCCTCCCGAACCGCCAGAGCCCTAGTGAATATAGCCCTCCGTTCGGTAGTTATGGTAGACGAATCCCAGTGTAATTCCAATAGTGTCCCTGGATAATTCCCTCAGTAAAACACACGAACTCCCAAACAGCATACGTAGTCAGAAGAAGGGTACAAAGATGAACTAAAGATTTATTGACAGGCATTCTCTTTTTATGGGATTCTGCCCATGCAAGGGAGCCTCCCATATAATTAACTGTACAACCAATCATAACAATATACATACTGTACATCTCCTCCCCTCAGATAACCATTAAACACAATTAAAACGGAACATAATTTCCCCAAAGTCTGGATGTACCCCAAGGACTTGATAGCTGTACTCTGGGGGACCAACATATGAAAAAATCACTTAGAAGTTTTCACCGACTGCACGGGCAAAGTAGCCGAAAACAGTTCCATGAATTCTGGCCCTGCAGTCGGTCTTAGGTCGCATGAAAAACCTCCCGAACAGCCGGCCATCCAGCTACCATCCTTGGTTCGCTTGATTCCCCATCTGTCAGTGAGTCTTTCTACCGAACGCCCGATCGTTCGTTAGTTTTAATGGGTTTTTACCGAAGGTATGGAGGATTCAGCGGTGTTCGCCTATTTGAGTGTCCGTTTTCAGTTCCAGACACTCGACGACAAACACCGCTGTTCGGGAGCTAAAATGGCCGCAAACACGTGGAAGTCACGAAATGGCGACGGTGCATACCGTTCGTGCAGAACTTTTGTCGAACATGCCCAGCAAGCAGGGAGGTAAAGTATTCATAATGGGCAACAGGGTGGTCTCGATTCGGTAGTTTCACCTACCGAATGCCATAGGGAAAGCTAACATAAAAGAAGGGAATACAAATTGTCAGTTTAAAGCAAAAGTGGGGAATTTCTTCACAAACATCCCAACCAGCGCACTGGCAAAAGTGTCTGCCTGTATGTTCGAGAGGGTGATAGCTTCAGGGTAGCAGGTAGCGTAGTCCACCATGGTAAGCATATACTTCTTACCGGATGGACTGGATCTCTGTAGGGGTCCTATCAGGTCAACTGCTATCCGGCTGAAGAGTTATTCAATAATGGGCATGGATAGCAGTCGGGCCTTGGGGTTATCCCCTCCTTTCCCTACCCACTGACAGATGTCGCAATTCCTGCAGTTTTGTCACACATCCCCAGAGACTCCTGGCCAAAAGAAATCCTGGGTTACTCGATGGGATGTGTGGTGTACTCACAAGTGACCTGCTAAGCTCCAACCGGTACTTCCTGGGCACTGCCAGTTGATGCTTCTGGGATGGTGTAATGGTTCACCTGGCACCCCGACTGGGTACCTCCATTGAAGGATGCTCCTAGCGCTTCCTGAGGACTCCAAGCACAGCAGCAGACACCACAACCCCCGCAGACTCCGCAACCGCTGTAGCTTGACTGGAGTCTCGCCGTCTTCCTTCCACCCTGGATCAGCTTCTGTTCTCCAGGACCATGTGGGAAAGACCTCTTCCTTCCACCCTGTATGAACCTCCACCATCCAGGACTGTGTGGTGAAAACCTCTCCTCCAAGGAGAGCGTGTCAGGAACAAGCTCTTAAAAGAGCTAAGTGATTCAAGCTCAGGGGAGTATGCAGAGCATAACAATCCCCAGTGTGATTATAACTGCTCCCTCCAATAACGAGACAAGGCTACATTTAGAGGGATCAAGAAGAACTGTCTAAACCTTTATTTCCCTTGGGACCAGCCCATAGGGTCACCACATTAACATTGCTGTGAAAACTCAATAAAATCACAAACAGTCAAACCATAGCAGGCAACACACAGTGACTTATCACAACACAATGGCACATTATTAAAGGGGTGGGGGAGACAATATTTAACAGAAAATATCTCACGTGCCTGCAAAACAAACAATATGCAAATCTACCCGAATATGCAAATGAACCATGTGGCGAAACCAACCTCGCCACTGTGAACTGGAGAAGCCTGGTTGCTCGCCTCCTCCCTTTGGACTATGGCCCTGCAGGTTAAACCGTTTATTTCCCCTGCAGAAAGGCTTATTTGTGTGATCTGAGTGCCATTCATCTAATAATGTGCACTCAGATCCCAGCTATCTGGGGATATGTGAAATGTCTGTGTGTTATGTGTAAATGTAACTTTATGTATTTTAAAGTGTTTTGTGTCTTTTTGCAACCATGTGCTTAATGGAGTCTTGTGTCTGTCCTGGGAGATAATTGAATTACTTATCTCCAGGATAGAAGACTCTGAAACTGGTTTGGGCCAGAAAGCCATGCTTCATTTAGTCACAAAGGACTTTTTACTAACTTTTGAACCCCTTGTCTGATTTGTGCCATTTTGAATATGTTGTTCCCCTGAATGGATTGATTGTGAATATGTAATTTTATGTGAATGTGATGTATGGTTTTGGAGTTATGAAAGTTGGGTAGAAAGTATGTTTTAACTGTATGTATAATTGAGTTTCCTCTCAGGATAAGGGGAGGGAATATGTAGGATGTAACTGTGATGTGATTGGTTGTTTTGTAACGCCCTGTGGGCTGTACTATGTTTGTGGATTGGGAATAAAAGAGACTGTATGTGACAGTACAGGGAATTCCTGCTTAACCCTCAAAGTGAAGTGTCGTCTCATTATTGGGGGAAGGATTTATTGTATGCTGTTCAAGTTTGACTGCTAGGAGAGTAAACCTATTCGTATGGTTCCTATTCAACTGTCTACAGCATTCATATGCTTGAGAGAATTTATGTTTCTCCGGTTCGGTGATTGGGGTGTCTGCTGAGTGTTTGAGTCCTCAGGAAGCGCTAGGAGCATCTTTCAACGGAGGTACCCAGTCGGGGTGCCAGGCGATCCGTTACATTGGTGGCAGCGGTGGGATGGCGTCCTAGTGCGAGGTAAAGCAGCTCGGAGACACAGTTCGTGGATTTACAAATTGAGGGCAACGCTAGTACCCGTACAGCGACCCTATCTACAAAAGAACTAACTTCAGCAGAGCAAGCATGGCGTATGACTACACTCAGGAGGAGTTTGACAGAGAGGTTAATGAGGTGCTGTCTACCTTTGGACCCAACCCCCCAGAGAGAGCCGTGCAGCTCGCCAGGAAACTAGTAGGAGAATACCTGCAATCTCTAGTAGATTTGGCCAAAAAGGAGTCCCAGGGAGCTGAAGGTGTCGTCCTTCCTCCCCAGCGGCAGTGTGTATCCCAGGGAGCTGAAGGTGCAGTCCTTCCTCCCCAGCTGCAGTGTGTATCCCAGGGAGCTGAAGGTGCAGTCCTTCCTCCCCAGCGGCAGTGTGTATCCCAGGGAGCTGAAGGTGCAGTCCTTCCTCCCCAGCCGCAGTGTGTATCCCAGGGAGCTGAAGGTGCAGTCCTTCCTCCCCAGCGGCAGTGTGTGTCCCAGGGAGCTGAAGGTGCAGTCCTTCCTCCCCAGCGGCAGTGTGTGTCCCAGGGAGCTGAAGGTACAGTACTTCCTCCCCAGCGGCAGTGTGTAACCCAGGGAGCTGAAGGTGCCGTCCTTCCTCCCCAGCGGCAGTGTGTACCCCAGGGAGCTGAAGGTGTCGTCGTCCTTCCTCCCCAGCAGCAGTGTGTACCCCAGGGAGCTGAAGGTGCAGTCCTTCCTCCC